GGCATGACAATGTGTGTTGTGTGTGTGTGTTTGTAAGAGCGAAATAGAGAGTGGAAAAGAAAGAGTGTGTGTGTGTGTGTGTGTGTGTGTGTGTGTATGTGTGGTGGGGGAGATGGGTGTGTTTGTCATGCACATTTGCCTTTTTCAGGGCATTGGTTGATGAAGCCTTTTGTGTTCCTAGGGAACCTCAGATGCAGAGCGAGCACTTGCTGTGGCCAGGCTTGTGTAAGTTCCTCCCTCTTGAGCTCCCTTTGTCTTTACTGGAGTTAAGAGGTCTTACTGTCACTGGTGACTTTGGAAGTGACCCACACTTCTGCCTCCTGGCATGTTACTATTTTCAACTGAGGGTGATTTCCTTTCCTGTTTATGGCATCTGAAGGCTGTCCTGGGATTCAAATGTACCCACTGTTCCCAGACCGCAGAGACCCCCATGTGAAGGCCCAATTTTAATGTTTATTTATGGGATTCCCTTTTTGGGGGATACTTCTGATTGTGAGTCCTGAGGCTTTAACTCTCAGTGTAGGTGAGACTTATTGCTTCTGGAGTTAATAAAGGCAGCAGAGTATTCACGGTTTAAGAGTGGGTTTTAGAGTTAATGGTTTGCTACTGGCTAACTGTGTGACCTTAGGAAGTTACTTAACCTTGCTGATCATTTTGTTCCTTTCTATGTGAAAGGATACCAGTAGTAGTAACATCCTCTGGCATAGTGTAGGGCAAGTGAAATAAGGCATGTTATTTGGAGAATGTCACACATTGGGAGTGCTTAGTAAATGTTCCCTTCTGATATTGATGACAGTGATAGCAAGAAGAGACTCGGGCAGTAATTGCTTTTGATCACAGACTGTTAAAATCAGAGAATGAGGTCCAAGTTCTTTCTGCATTTGATAATTATTTGGAGTAAGCTACCTGTGTCACCCAGCAACTGAAGGCAGTCCTGTAACTTATGCCAGAGGAGTTGCTCTGGCAAAGGGCTCTTGTGCTTATGTCACATCTTTGCCTTGGCAAATAGCTTTCATTACCCCAGTGAGAAATGCTGCCTTGGAATTGAATTTAGCATGAGTGTAACTTGGTATTTGAATTATCTGACACAACTCCATTGTAACAAAGACCTCAATACCTAGCTCTTTTCAATGTGTAGATACGTTATGTCTTTCCTCTGGAACTCTGCTCAGATGAAGTCTGTCATTGAGGGTGGTGTGTTTCTTGAATCCAGACTCACAATGACAGGTTTATGAGCACAGACTCATCCATGCTTTTTACTCTAGTTTCTTCCCTCAGTTTGAATGTTGTTTTTTTTTTTAATATTTACTTTTTACTTGTAGGTGGACACACAATATCTTTATTTCATTTTCTTATATGTTGCTGAGGATCGAACCCAGTGCCTCATGTATGCTAGTTGAGCACTCTACCTCTGAGCCACAACTCCAGCCCTTTAATGTTTATTTCCTTTTTGCTTTTCATGTTTTTCCAGAGAAAATGATGTAGCTGGTATTGACGTCAACATGGGCTGTCCAAAAGAATATTCCACCAAGGTAAATTGATTTCTTTATATTTCTCAGAAGTATCCTATGGAGATTAAAGGAAGCTAACAAGACATGATGGCTAGGTACAGTACCCAGTTCTGGACTAGATCCTGAGCTGGATGAAGAAAATGCTTGAAAGTCTGTTAGTGGATCAATAAGCACAACTGGAACAGGGCCAGGCATGGTGGTCCATGCCTGTAATCCCAGCTATTTGGAAGGCTGAGGCAGGAGGATTGCAAATATGAAGCCATCCCAGGCAACTTAGGCAGACCTTGTCTCAAAATAAAACAGTAAAAAGAACTGGGGATGCAGCTCATTTGTACAGCATTTGCCTAGCATGTACAAGGCCCAGGGTCAACCCCAGGTACTGTTTAAGGAAAAAAAAAGGCCAAAAAAAAAAAAATAATAGGACCTGGGCTTTGTCAAGATGCTGTGTCATATCAGAAGAGATCAGACTAGAAGGCTATGTTAAGCCTGAGAACAGAGTGGAAAGGCACCCTTAAACTTGTTTTTGATGAGGAAATGTGGTCCTTGAGGAAGAGTTATAGGACAGATGAGAAGAGTGGCATGTGCAGGAGCATGGAGGCCCCTAGGTGGTGAAGCCAGAACTGTGAATGGCTCATTTTCATCAGAGGACTGGGGAATAGGAGATGAAGAGGGAGCAAAGGAGCATAGGATCACAAACTTTAGTTGGGATCAGATCAGCTGGACTTGGACTTTGGTATCTTTGCCCCGCCCCCCCCCCTTTTTTTTGGAGCAGAGAAGCCATGTGTCTGGTGGATTAGAATGACAAAAGGCCAGAGGTTTGGATATGGGTATTGGCTGGCAAATTGTTGGGTGTGTGGTGGTGGGATAAAGTGGTTGTAGTTCAGGAAGGATTGACTGGTAGCCAGGAAGCAGGTTTCTTTTTCTTTAGCTGTGATCAGATGTTGAAAAAGGACAGGTTTGGAATAGATAATAAAAGCAGATTGAGGTTGCTGAGTGTAAGGCATCAGAGCAGAAGGTCGACAGTGTAGACATAGTAGATGTTCCCCTGGCCCAGTGTTCAGAGTCAGCCACTATGCTCTGAGAAGTCACCCAGCCTGACACCAATGCTTTAGGTAAGGAGGCTTCAGAATGCCTGCCTGCCTGCTTAATAAACCAGAGGGCTTTGTGGATATTACCTTCAAAAAATTAACAGAAATTTGAAATTGTCTATGAGCAGTTGAAAACTTATTGCTGTTTTTTCTCATGACTGTGTGCTACTCCGTTCTATAAGGAGCAGAGTTGAAATGATTTGGAATGATCTCCTGATGTTGTGAGAAGAGCAATGAGAAGAATTTCAAATAGTGTACTACTGTATACTTAAGGAAAATCGGAAATGAGTATTTATATATGTTGCCTTTTTTATTTATAGAATATAATTGAAAAGACAAAACAATAAACCAGGGACTTTGACTACTTCTGGGGAAGGAAACTTGAGTTTTATTCAGTCTTATATAGGCAGTACATTTATACTCTGGGGTGCTACTTAAAATAATGAGGAACTGGCACTAGCCAGTCAGAACAGATACCAACCAGTATGCCGTAGCAGCACATGCCAGCTACTGTCTGCCCTGTCCTCCTGCTTTAAAAAGTATGAAAGTGTAGATTGAACTGGATACAGTGGTACATGCCTATAATTCCAGTGACTCCACAAGGTACACAGGAGGATCTCAAGTTTGAGGGCAACCTCAGCAATCAGCTTCCTGTCTCAAAGAAAATTGAGATTGTCAATTAAAAAAAGAGTCTCTTATCCCTTAAGTAGGGAAAATTGTACTTTCTTAACTTTTGAACCTCTTGCATTTTGAATGTATTATCTATTAAAAAAAAAAAAGGAAAAAATTAGAAAGAAAGGAAGGAAATTCCATTGTGGAAAATTGCTGTGAAAGGGGCAGTGAGCTTGAATTTTAGATCCTGTAATTCTTTAAGGAAGGGCTGCATTGTGTGTGTGTGTGTGTGGTGAAGGACAGATGCAGCTGGGTGAGTGTCCAGGCTTCCTTGAGGCCTCTAAAGTTTGTATCCTCCTGCCTCTAAAGTTTCTATCTGAAATGCAGAGCTAATGGCTCTTCCTCCCTGCCAATTCTCAAAATGCAGGCCCAATATGTCCAGTTTGTGGTGATTTTTTTTTTGGGGGGGGGGGCGGGTACCAGGGATTGAACTCAGGGTCATTTAACTACTGAGCCATATCCCCAGCCTTTTTTATTTTTAATCTTGAGACAGTCTCACCAAGATGCTGAGGCCGGCTTTGGACTTGTGATTTTACTCGCTTGCCCTCCCAAGCTGCTGGGAGTATTGGTGTGCACCACTGTACCTGGTAGTCTGTGATGATTTAATGTACTCTTTGAATCTGTCATCCTTAAGCATGAAATTAAAACTGTAACAACTGAACTTAAACTTTCTGAGCACATCCTGTGAACATTCAATAGTTATGTAGTGTATGTACTGTATTTATTGGATTTTTCTCCCCTTTATTCAGATTTCTAAAATATTTTTAGTTGTAGATGGACACAATACCTTCATTTATTTTTACATGGTGCTGAGGATCGAACCCAGTGCCTTCCACATGCAAGGCGAGCATGCTACCACTGAGCTACAGCCCCAGCCCCTCAGATTTTTAAAGATTCCCTCCTCTTTTACTTTCCCCTGAGATGCTAATTATTAAAGTAATTCATTGTATTGGCTAGAACATAGGAAATGTAGAAAATTCTAACAAAAGGGCTCTGTTTGTGGCTCAGTGGTGGAGTGCTTGCCTGGAATGTGTGGGGCACAGGGTTTGATTCTCAGAACTGCTTAAAAATAAATTAAATAAAGACCCATTGACAACTAACAAAATTAAATAAAAAATAAGAAATTTGTAAAGAGAGCAAGGTATCATGGCACATGCCAATAATCCCAGCTCCTTGGGAGGCTGAGACAGGAGGATCACAAGTTTGAGGCCAGCCTGAGCAAGTTCTGAGACCTTGTCTCCAAATAAAAAATAGAAAATGCTGGGTATATAGATAAAAGGTAGAACAACCCTGGAATGAATTTCCAGTAGTGTAGACGGACAAAAGAAAAGGACAAGAAAATTGTTGTTGATAATGTCCTGAGAATGGGAAGTGTGCACTTATAAAGAAACATGCACTTACAAAGAAGTTACTCGATACCAATGAGAAGGAGGAATACAAATGATAGCTTTTAAATACAGTCGCTGGCTCTGCCGAGCTCTGAAAACTCAAGTTCAAGCTGCATTAGTTTCCCATGTCAAACTGAACCAAGGCCCTAGTTGCAACGCCATTGCAAATCATTTGCAACCACCTGCAGGGATTCTTTCAAATTTTTGTATATTTGAATAACTGTATAATTAACAACAGCAACAATAAAATGTTTTATTTCTTTAAAAAAATATGAGTAAAATATTTTTAAAAAGATGCATTAAGTGTTATAGGTAAATACAAGACCTCTCTACAGAGAGGCTCAGCCAGCCAGCTTCTTTGACATTGGTCTCTTGGTACAAATTTTGGGGCTGGGACAACCCAGGGACTTTTCTGCCTCTGTTGGAGCTCGGCGTTTCTTGGGAGCCTCTCTGGCTCTCTGGGTTGGCTTTTGGGCTGGCTTCTGGGCTGGCTTCTCTGCTGGCTTTTCTGCTTTGGCCTTTGGTGGAGTGGCCAAGGGAACATCTCCATAGAGCCGGTAGCCACCAACCAGGCAGTATGTCTCTCCATGCCAGCCCACCTGGGTTTCTCCACATCCTCTGTAGAGGACATGGTAGTATGCAGGTGTAGGAGGAGATGTGGAAGGCACTGCTGCTGGAAAGAAAACAGAACTTATGAGACACTTGTGTTACTTGTGTTTTGTGCACTCAGCTGCTAGTACCTCCCTCTCCTAATCTTTCCTGTTTCTGACTGAAGCCCTCTTCTCTGCATGGCATCCCAAACATAGCCTTTGCCTGTTAACCTCTATGGTTGCTTTGCCTGTCTCCTCAAGGGATGATTGCTATCAAAGTAATTGAGTTCTGTGGAGCCAAAGGAAGCATGAGGATAATAGTCAAACCTCAAAATTATCCCAAACAGCCCTCCCTCAGTCTCTCCCTTCTACAACTGAGAAAAATATCTTAAGGTCTGTCATTTCTGAGTTTTCAATGGAAATAATTTTCAAGGTTTGGAAAATCTGGTCTAATATAAATTGGATTAGAACCCCTCCCACCTTAGCAGCTCCCTGTGGGACCCATTGTTACAGCCTGTTTCAGCCACACTGAATTCTAGACTAATTTTTATAGATTTTTGTAATTCTTTTTTTTTTCCGTGGGGTGGGGGGTTGGCTACCAGAGATTGAACTCAGCGGCACTCAACCACAGAGCCACATCCCCAGTCCTATTTTGTGTTTTTTTTAGAGGCAGGGTCTCGCTGAGTTGCTTAATGCCTCACTTTTGCTGAGGCTGGCTTTGAACTCACAGTCGTCCCCTCTCAGCCTCCCGAGCCACTGGGATTACACATATGCACCACTGTGCCCAGCTGCTTTTTTTTTTTTTTTTGAGATTATGTTTTACTATGTTTCCCCCAGACTAGACTCGAATTGAGCTCAAGCAATTCTCCTGCCTCAGCCTCCTGAATAGCTGGGATTATCGTTCCATACCACTGTGCCCAACTCTACCACTTTCTGAAGGCTATATACTGGGGCAGAGGGATTAAGAGAATGAGATCCAAATTCTCGATACCAAGTTTAGGCACAATAGCCTTTGCACATCCATTTCTTGAGACATCGTTTCCTCAGAACTCCAGTCTCTGTATCACTTCACCTCTCCCCCTGGCCCTTCTGTTCTTCCCAACTGCCTGAGAACACCCTTTTTCTCAGCATTTCAGACTGGGATGTGAAGGGGATCCATGTGAGTGTATCCATGACAGTATGCTATAGGTGCCTGGGTCTGAAGGTGAGGTTCATAAGAGACTGATAGCCCTTCCTCAAATGCTTCAGTTATCCCTGGATAACAAAAGCACACGGGGCTTCTTTAAGACTCTTATTAAGAAAGGATCTGAGAATGAAGCCTCCTTCCTGTTTTGGTGATGAGTGCTCTCACCATGTTGCCCAGGCTTCATTATGTTTCCGCCCAGATCCTTGAGCCCAACTCCTAGGCTCAGGTACTCTTTCCATTTAGCCACCCAAGCAGCTGGGACTATAGGTGTGTACTAGACTATAGCTGTGCTCTGAAGGAAGCATTGGGGGAGGCTAAAGGGGAAGGCTAGATTGATAAAGATTAGAACCTTTCTGAATACTTGCCCTCAACAGTGAGCAGAAACACTGTGGGTCCTTGAGGGAGCACCAGACCATTGGTCTTACTCATGGGTAGGGAAGTTCTGAGGTGTGATGGGGAAACCCCAAAGGAAGATGTGGCAGTCAAGTGAGGTTGTATATTTACCAGGGCTCCATTACAGATGCCTGGCCTAGGCCTACCTGCTGCTCTGCTCTCCCAGGGGACAGCGGACAAGTTAGATTGAATATAAAATATTCGGTCAGACATATTCTCTGAAGCAACCAGACACTTTGGTGTCTTGTAGAGAACTGGTAAAGAAGTTCCTTAGCATTAATCTGCCATGGAAACTGAGGCTTGTGATGTCATCACTACCCAGTGAGATCACAGAAGGAATGTGTGTCTTGAGTGGCAGGCTTCAGATCCTTGCTATTTTATGGAAAATAGGGTGAAAGAAGCAAACTCTGCTTCGACCCTCCCTTCTGACCTTTCCTAGTCAACTAGTCTGTCTGTGTAGTACAAATGGGAGTTGAGAACAGCCCATGACCACAGGTGGTATGAGAACCCAAATTATTAAACTGGTCAGTCATGATTAAATACAGAGACAAGTAGGTTGCATGGCCCTGATTCTAAGTATTTAAGTGTTGGAGAGGCAGAGACTTGAGTGGATTATTTGTTGGGGGAATGCTCCTTGGAAGTGGGCCTGAATGTAAATTAAGATTTGGGCTTGCATGGTGGTGTACGCCTATAATTCCTTTCACTTGAAAAGCTGAGGCCGGAGATTTTTTTAATTCAAAGCCTGTCTCAGCAACTTAGTCCCTAAGCACCTCAGTGAGACCCTGTCTGCAAATGAAATAGAAAAGAAGGGTTGGGGCTGTTGCCCAGTGGTAGAATGTTCCTGAGTTCACTTCCCAGTACCAAAAAAAAAAAAAAAGAACATGTTGAAAAACATTCCATTTAGGAATAAAAGTAAAGATAGGCACCTTGGGACTTCATTCTTCCCCATAGTTTAATCCTTTAATGAGTTGGAGGTGTGCTTCAATGGTAGAGATTATTTATTTATTTATTTATTTGGTACTAGAGATTAAACTGAGGGGCACTCAACCACTGAACCACGTCCCTAGCCCTATTTTTAATTTAGAGACAGGGTCTCACTAAGTTGTTTAGCACTTTGCTTTTGCTGAAGCTTGCTTTGAACTTGAGCTCCTCATGCCTCAGCCTCCCAGGGTTCTGGGATTACAGGCCCTGAGGTGCTGGGATTACAGGCGTGTGTCACAGTGCCTGGGAATTGTAGAGCCTTGAAGTGTTTGCCTAGCATGTGTGAGGCCATGGGTTTGATCTTGGGCTCCACAAAAAAAAAAAAAAGAAAAACAAATTCTTTGCACCCTCTCCTTCTTAGAAGTTAGGTCTCAAGCACATGTTAAGGGCCCTATCCAAAGTCACACAGGTAGTGTAGAAGTCTGCTCAACAGTAGGGTTTCATGTTGTTCTTGTTGGGGCTCCAGATTTATAGCTAATATGGCAAATTTGTTACATTTCAAGCTGGTGGACAATGAGAAGGATGTTAAAGGTGTTCCAAGGAAAATGAGAGCCTCTAGTGAATTTATAAAGCAGGAATGACAGGCCCATTTTAATGTAAAATTTGAAACGTCTTCATGACAAAATGACATTACAAAATTACCACATTATCATTTCAGTCCCCGTTCTTCAAAAAAAGAAAATAAACCATGTGTAGTCATTCAAGAAAAAGAAAATAAACTCAACTGATTCTTTGTTCTATACGAGGCAATTTGGAACGTGATTTATTAAGTACATTGAATTCTACCCCATGATAATTATAGTTAAGGCAGCCCATGAAAACATCATTTATTGCTAGAAATCATGACATGACAGAAAATCAAAATGCATTTTATTCTTCACATTTTATGTGAAAGACTATGCTACTATGGTCCAATGCTCAATTACTCCAATACTGGCCAGTAGCTCATCTTTCAAAGCAACAAGCAGCCCCCAGGCCCTGAGAGGCATTAAGGGCACCCTAGCTGACAAGTGTGTTCAACCTCCCAGGACACCAGGAAAGATCCCTAATCCAGAATCCCATTTTAGTTAGCCAAAATCAGGCTTGCTGAAGCCAGTGCTCTCTCACTGAGGATGCTCCTCCTGGAAGCCGCCTTCTTTGTACAGCTGCTAGTTCAATCTTCTGAACCAGCCTCACAGCTCACAGATGGGTCATAAAGCTGATGACTGCACCTGGTACCTCACTCCCAACACGGCTCACCCTCCTTGCTCTGTGGAGGGGAAAATCATCATTGACAAGAGCTCTACATGAGTGCTGTCTAGTCTCTGAGAAGCTACATCTGTGTAGGGCAGTATGTCTTGGGGGCCCTTCCTGAAGCACTGGAAGATACCTGCCCTCATTGAAGCTGGCATTTGCCCCTGAAACCTTAAGTGTTTGATCTTGTGGTCATCCAGAATATTATCCCAGCCAGTTCACAATGCTGGAACTGTTATAGAACACCAGGACTGTTCCTGAGGGTCCAGTCTTGTCTGCTTTGTCATGTTGCTTGAGGATCTGCACCAACTTGTCACCTTATTTGTTCTCTTCAGCCTCATAAATGTTTGTCTGACATGAAGCTTAATGCAGTGGAGCTTGGAACTGGTGATGGTGGTGAGAGAGTGCGGGATTCCGCCTTAAATTAGCAACTGGCCCATGCCTTCAGATCTCATGTTTGGGGCCAACCTCAGCAGCTTAGGGAGTCCCTGTCTCATAAAGGATGGGGGCGGTCTGGGGTTGCAGCTCAGTGGTAGAGCCCTTGCCTAACATGTGAATTACTCAGTTTGATCCTTAGCATCTCATTAAATTAAATAAGTAAAACCATGTATTGTGTTCGTTTTTAACTTTAAAAAATTCTATTAAAAAAGTGGATGGGAGATTTGGTAAAGGACCCCCAATACACACACAAAAAAAGTATAGGTTGAAAAGTCTCTTGTTCCTTAAGGAGGGGGAATCTTTACCTTTTAATGTTTTGAATCTCTCATATGTTTAGTGTATTATCTATTCAAAAAAAGAAAAAAGTTAGAAAGGAAGGAAGGAAGGGAATTCTATTGTGAAAAATTGCTGTGGAAGGGCCAGTGAACTTGAATTTTAGATTCTGTGATTCCATAAGGATGTTCTGGATTTTGTGTATGAGGGGTGAAAGACAGATGGAGCTGGGTGGGTTCCTGGGCTTCCTTGAGACGTCTAAGTCTTGTATCAGTGGCCCTCAAATGCAGAGCTAGTGGCTCCTCCACCCTGCCAATTCTCAAAATGCAAGCCTAGCCAAGTCTGAGGTGATTCTTTTTTTTTTTTTTTTTTGGTGCCAGGGATTGAACCATAGGATGTTTAATCACATTCCCAGCCCTTTTTATTTTTAATTTTGAGACAAGAGTCTCACCAAGTCGCTGAAGCCCACTTTGAGCTTGTGATCTTCCTTGTTTACTCTTCTAAGCTGCTGGCAGTATAGGTATGCATTAATGCACCTGGAAGTCTGTGGTGATTTAATTTTCCCTCTGATTGAATCTGTCATCCTTGATTCTGAAATTAAACTGTAACATCCGAACTTAAATCTCTGAGCACATGCTTTGAGCATTCATTAGTATGCAATATATATATACTATATTTATTGGGTTTGCTTTTCTCCCCTTCATTCAGATTTTCAAAGATTTCATTCTCTTTTACCCTCCCATGAGATATTGATTACTAAAGTAATTTATTGTAATGTCTAGAACATGGGAAATATAGAAAATTGTAACAAGAGCTAGGTATGGTGGCTTATGCCAATAATCACAGCTCTTTGGGAGGCTGAGTTCAGTGGTAGGGCAAGCCTAGATTCAATTCTCAGTACTGCAGAAGGAAAAAAGAAAATTGTTGGTAATAATCCTATTATCATGAGACAAGCATTATTGTTAGGGTTGAGTTTTAAGTGTTTCAGATATGCAGTTTCTGTTTTCTGGTATTTTTGTTTGTTTGGCATGTATGTGGATCCTCAAGACTGGGACATTGTTGCTGGCTGAGGAGAAGGGCCTGGACAATGTTTGTGTCTCTGCATTTAGTGTTGGTACTAAAGCAAGTATTGGGTATGTGAGGAAGGAGTATTTAAATCTCATCACTTAAGGAGGATCCATTGTCTTTTAACGTCTTGGAAGATGGCAGGTTTAGTTTATTATGACACTGAGACCTGAAAAAGAATTTTTTTTTCTTTAAAAAAAAATCCAGGTGTACTTAAACATCAAACCACATCTCTATTCCTGTTATATTTTTTTATTTTATTTTTTATTTTGAGACAGGGTCTCCATAAATTGCTTAGGGCCTGGCTATGTGGTGAGACTGATCTTGAACTTGTGGACCTCCTGCCTCAGCCTCCCAAGCCACTGGGATTATTGGCATAAGCCAAGACATCCAGCCAGAAATTCTGTAGAGCCTACTTCTAGAGATCCATGGGTTTTGCCAAGGGCATCATTGTGGTGACTTTAGAATTCATCAGATTCCTGTCCTTGTGATTATGGGCATGAATCCTGCTGTCTTCCTACTTGTTTAGGAAAATGCCAGTTGTTAATGGACCTTGGTTACAAGGTTTGCATACCATGTTACCATGGGAGGCGGGGGGTGGGCAGGAGCCAAGGAGTATCCTCCTCCAACTTAAAGCAGACCTTTCTTCTTGTTCTCTTTAGGGAGGAATGGGAGCTGCTTTGCTGTCAGATCCTGACAAGATTGAGAAGGTAAGTTCTGCATGAGTGAAAGCAGCGTCCTCAAAACATGGCTATGAACTAGAGTTGCCTAGAATGCCTCTCTCCCCATTTCAGATTTAGTAAAGTTCCCTTAGTCTATCCATTTGCAGCCTGGGAATTTTTTAGAAAGCTTTCCAGTGCCAGACGCACTGATGCACACCTGTAATCCCAGTGGCTTGGGATTACAGGTGTGCAAAGTTTTTCCAGACCTCACACAAACATCTTTATTTTGAGAAAATTTCAGCAGGTGGTCCTGAGATGCTCCCACGATGAAATCAGGGTCCTAAAACACAAAGCCTGGAACACAAAGCTCACCCACTCACCCAAACTGCTGGAAGATGGCAGGTTTAGTTTATTATGACACTGGAACAAAAGTTCACAAGTTGGCCCTAGCAATTTTAGCAAGGTCCTAAGCAACTCAGTGAGACCCTGTCTCTAAATAAAATACAAAATTGGGCTGGGGTTGTGGCTCAGTGGTCAAGTGCCTCTGAGTTCAATACCTGGTACCCTCATCCCCCACCTAAATAAAAAGCTTCCCAATGGTTTTGACATGCAGCCAGGTTTGGAAACCCTTGAGCCAGCATACAGCAGCCTTGAGTTGTATAAAATCCTGGAACTTGGGCCCTGTCGACTAAGAGCCAGAGAGCCTGAAGACTGGGCTAGAGACTCCTCTGCGTTGTCTCTCTCCTTTCTAGGATGCTCATGAGAGCAGAGGCTAGACCACCTTTGGTGAGGGTAGGCTCTGTGTATGTGTGTGTTTGGGGGGTGGGTAGATTGTCCTCTCTAAGGGGCCTGGATGAGAGTAGCAGGGGGGTTCCCCTCCATACCACTGGAGTCGCATCAGTTCTTTGAGAGCAAGCCAGGTCAGGGTCCCATGAAGCAAGCTGAAGTTAGTCTTTCTTTATTTCCCTTCCTGTGGTGATTTTGCAGATAGGCTTAATGAGTCCCCTGGGTCAGGTTGGTATTTGCTATCTAGTGCTGTGGGCTGCTAGGGGTTGTGGGGGTGATATTCTGCCACATCATACCATGTGTACCTTCCTTTCCTTTCCCAGCTCATCAGCTGTCAGCTTGTTGCTGATTGTAGCTCCTTTGTTTTGCTTTTCATGCACCATCCCTACTTCCTTGTCCAGGATTTGAGCCTCATGGTGCTTCCTGCAGATTAGAGTTACTTGGGACTCAGATACTACCATAAGAGCTGCCCTGGTTTGTTCTGGCTGTTGCTGTTCAACTGTGTATATTCTTTCTGTCCAGCTGTCTCTGGGATATAAGAGGACCACAGTATGTGTTGGCTGGATTCCTTCTGATTTTTCCCACATACAGCCACATATGATGTTCCTCTAACCTGCATATAATGTATCCTTACCATTTCTTGGGTAGTTTCCTTTCAAAGCATATTCCAATGTTATTTTATTTGTCCCTGAAACCCCTTGAGGTACACAGGGCAGGCATTCATTAGCTGCTGCTGCTTCTTTATTGTTGTTGTTGTTAAAGCAATCTTACTGTGTTGCCCAGGCTGTTCTCAACTCATGGGCTTAAGAGATCTTCTGCCTCAGTCTTCCAAATAAATGGGACTGTTGGCATATACTACCATGCCCAATTACAATCTCATTTTGATCAAAAGTAATCAACTAGTCATGAGTGGTGGCACACTCCCAGCAGCTTGGGAGGCTGAGGCAGGAGAATCACAAGTTTGAAACCAGCCGCAGCAACTTAGTGAGGTTATAAGCAACCTATTGAGACTCTGGGTCTTAAAAGTAAAAAATAAAAAGGGGCTCAGGATGTGGTTTAGTGGTAAGGGCCCTTAGATTCAATCCCTAGTACCAATAAAAAACAAAAACAAAAGCAACAACCCCTCCCCAAACAAAACAAAACAAAAACATAAAAATAAAGCACACAGAGAGAAAAATGATTTTCTTCAAGATCATATTACAAATAAGAGGCAGGCAGAGCCAACTTCGGAGTCATAGTCTTGTGATTCCTGATGCAGCGTCTGTGTCCCTTCTCAATGACATGTTCCATTAAAGGTGCCTGGCTTCATTTTTAAATGTCTAACCACAGTTCAATAGGCAGCGGAGTTTGGAACTTCCAGTGAGACACCCATGTGCAAGATGGAGTTGAAATGGATAGCCATGATGTCAAAGCAGTTAAGAGAGGGGTCCTCAGCACATGGGCATTTTCTTATCGTCTGACCTGGTTTCTCCGACCAATGCTGCTGGCTTTATCCTTTCTGACGTTCCTCTTTGAATGAGGTACATTTATTCATGAAGCAGTAGAGATGCATTCCAGATGCTTAGATCATTCTGTTTCTTCTCGGGTGAGGGAATCATATAGGTTGGCTAAATGGGGTTTGCCTCATGGAGGGGAAGTTGCAGGGTTGCAGACTTCTCCTACAAAATCCAATGTGATTTTTGCATGGGGGGCTGGATTCAATTTAAGCCCAGATTGTACTAGCAGTTTGGGTGAGTGGGTGAGCTTTGTGTTCCAGGCTTGGTGTTTTAAACCCCTGATTTCATCATTGGAGCATCTCAGGACCACCTGCTGAAATTTTCTCAAAATAAAGATGTTTGTGTGAGGTCTGGAAAAACTTTGAAAATACTTAATAATACCACTGAACTAATACCACTGAACTATACACTTAAAAAGGGCAAATTTTTTTGGGAGGGGTGGTACTAGGTATTGTACTTGGGAATACTCTGTCACTGAGCTATATACCTAGCCCTTTTTATTTTTTATTTTGAGACAGAGTCTCATTAAGTTCCCGAGGCTGGCCTTGAACTTGTGATCCTCCTGCTCAGACTCCCAAATCACTGGGATTACGGGTGTGTGCCAACATACTGGGCCCAAGGTGGCAGATTTTATTGTATATAAATTTTATCTCAATTGAAAAAAAAAAAAAAAAGATGCTACCTGTTGAATTCTCTAACCTTGGAGTGGCTAGGGATGGGGGATATCAGTCTATTGAAAAAAGCTTCCACCAGGTAATGCTGGTATACCTTCCCTGGATTTAGACCCTCAGTTTTAGACTGTAGCTCTTAGTGATATATGGTCTCACCCCCGTCCAAGCTTTCTGTGCATCTTCTGGCTGTCCAGGGTATCATTTGTGTGAGTGAAGTTTCTTGAGTCATAGCTGCCAGTGAGCAGGCCCAGAACTTGAACTCTGGTCTCACTGATACCCAAGCCTGTGGCTTCCGATCTTCCCACCTGCTCCCTCCTCAACAACCTGGGGAGATAGGGCCGCTTTTTCCCAGGAGGCCAGTTGATCTGGTGAGGCATGCCTTTGGTCGATGTTCTGCTTCTCCACTCAGATATAGGCTTGCCTCTTGTCCTTTATCCCCAGAGATCTTCACCGGGACATGTGGTGTGATGTGGACCTGGAGAGTTGTGTCCAGAAGAGTTTCATGCTAGAGCCTGGCTGGAGGACCGCCTCTAGTTGTTGTTTCCCCTCAGTGCTGCCCTTGCAAGTGGTTAGGGCTTTTAGTTACCTAATCTCCTTCCTTGTCCTTAACATGAAATGAACAGAAATTCTATTCTACTTGGTTAAAATACACTAAAAGGAAGTCCTGTAAGACAGAGCATTGGATCAGACCAGCTGGTGCTTCTTAAATTACTAAATATCAGAGGATTCCAAGTGAGTGCTTGCAAGGGAACTGTCGATAGGTTTTGCCTTGAGCCAGAGATAGAATGAGAGTAAGAATTTTTTGTGTCATGATGGACCTGGCAGTGCCCCTTTAAGACCTGCCAGGGTGACCTTAGGACCTCAGGCCCAGTCTCCTGAGGCAGCACCTGTGGACTGTTCCTGCCTGCCTGTCAATTTTGCCTGGTCCAGCAGACCCTGTCTTGCTCATGAGCCATCCACTGGTCAGCCCAGTTTCTTGGTCTGTTATCTTCCAGAGGGAGGGGCTACCTTAGCCTGTCCCTGAGAAAAAGTCCTCCTCTGTTCGTTCTCTGCTTTCTGCTGCCCCCGCCAGTCTAGAAGACTGGCAGCAGTCACCTAGGTATCTCCTCTGCTGAACAGAGGTTCAGTTCTGGGAAAGTCCTTGAGATCACCCTGCTTCCAACTTGCCTGGGTTGAAATTTTTGATTTGGGAAGAAGATAGCAATGTCACAGCCATGCAGTGTCATTTGCATCTCTCTCGATCTGTGATTCTTGTGTGGTCAGGTCTTGCTACCTCACTGACACTTTCCTGTATGGCTTCTTGATCTTTTTTTGAAATCCTTTTCAATTATTATGCAATAAACACTTTTTAGCTTGTTGAAAATGTTGTCCTTTTTTTTTGCCTGTTTTATTCCTGTATATCTGACATCTCCAAAGAGGAGTGCAAGGGCCCAGGCCTTTAAAGGCCTTCCTGCTTCTTCACTCTGCAGGGCTCAGGACGCATTCAGGAAACATTTCCTTCCCTTCGTCCAGGGGAGAAGTTGCCAGCCTGTTCTTATCCAGGGCTGGGCCTCAAAATCATATTGAAAACAGAGTGTGTTGGTTAGAAACACACATTCCTAAGCCCTGCCCCGATAGAAATAACAGGATAGAATATAAGAATTTGTGTTTCTTACGCTTTTCAGGTAATTCTAATGCTTGAACCTGGCAAAGGATTACTGCATTCTACACAGGAATGCATGCAGATCCATTCACTCCCTAGTTCATTCAGTGTATTTAACAAGTATATATATATATATATATACCATTTTGTGCCAGGCAGGGATCACTGGTGTTGGGGCTGTAGCATAGAACAGAGGCACATTCCTTGTCTCATGGAGTATTCTATGTGTATGTGTGTAACAGATTGATATACATTGTGCATACATGAACTGTCTGTGCCCCTGAAATGCATAGATCTGTAGCAGTCTACAAGCAGTGTGGAAGTTTGTTCTAGAAGAGGTAGGTGCTCCTCTGTGCTCCTCTTTGCAGATCCTCAGCACCCTTGTGAAAGGGACGCGCAGACCTGTGACCTGCAAGATCCGTATTCTGCCTTCAGTAAGTATTGTATTCTATTATCTCAAGGTCTGTTCTCTCCGGTGATGTTGGATTTGGGGATTGTGAATGATTCATGATGAATTAGGTTTGGTGGAGGGAGTAGAGTTGAGCCCAATTTAGGAGCCAGCAGCTATAACACTGGGGCCCCAGTAACCACTCTTGTGATCTTCCTCAGCTAGAAGATACCTTGAGCCTTGTGAAGCGGATAGAAAGGACTGGCATTGCTGCCATCACAGTTCATGGGAGGTGAGTGATTGCCTTTTTAGAGACTGGCTGAGAGATTCCTCAGCCATTTTTATAGTCCCTCACTTACGTATTTTGCCTGCCTCTGCCCAACTCTTTGACAACCTGTGAGTTCAGAGGGCACTCAGACTCCTTGAATGGGCTTGCATTTGTCTGTGTTTCTTTTATTGAGCACCTATTGGTGCTAGGCCCTGCTCTGAGCTTGAGAGACACAGAGAAAGAGAAACTCCCCATCCACATGATATTGAAGTTGTAGAGATGGAGTGATCTGCTCAAACCTGTATCATGTAGACAGAAAGTGGTGGAATTAGAACTCTCACTCTTAATGTTTTCTTTTGACTTAATCAAGCAATGGCTTCTCCCTTGAATGACCCCAGACAGATGGCTATTCATTCATTTATTCATTTATTGTGGTACTAGGGATTGAACCCAGGGGTGCTCGATCACTGAACCACTTCACTAGCCCTTTTTATTTTTTATTTTGAAACAGGATCTTATAGTTGCTTAGGGTCTTGCTGAGTTGCAGAGGCTTACCTTGAATTTGTGATCATTCTGCCTCAGCCTTCCACTTCCATTCCACAGTATGCCACCACTCCTGGCAAGATGGCTGTTCTTTTGAAGACATTGCTGCTTTGTAGCTAATGTGTTCCTTTAAGAGAGCCAAGGTGTTTCTGAAGGCTGCTCTTGGTTTCCTAGTCAAATCTGCTCCCTGTGCCCAGGATGTCCTTTCATAAGGAACCCCAGACAACAGACTTTGGCTGGTGACTTCTTGTCTGTAAGAAATGTACCTTTTGGGCTCAGGACTCTTATGGAAGTATCCAAGTTGCTGGTTGTCATTTTGACAGCCTTTTCAAAGGGCATCCAGAGGTCCATCATATACCACAAAAAGCAGAGCTACTCAGATTGAAGGCATATGGGGAGGTGAGAGCCACACATGTATTTACATGCTCTCCTTTCTTGGGCAGTAGGCTTTGGGCTAAAATTGCTTGGTGCCAAATCCTATGTCTGCAGCTTATTAGTTGTGTATCCTTTGGGGAATCACTTCTCTGAGTGCCACAGTCCTAATGTGGAAATGAAAATAATTTCTTTTTTATAATTGTCATGAACTGTTTATGAGATTGTAAATAAAACCCTTGGCACATAGCCTGGCCATAGCCTGGCATTATTCTCTTAATAAAGGAAGATCTTTTTTTTTTTTTTTTTTTGGTGCTGGGATTGAACCTTGGGTGCTTTACCACTGAGCTACATCCCTAGTTCTTTTTTGTTTTTTTAATTTGTTTTGAGACAAGGTCTCACTGAATTGCTGAGACTGGCCTTGAACTTGCAATCCTTCTTGCAATCCACCAAAGAGGCTTTTACCAGAAGCAGTAGGAAGACGGATTTGGGTTAGTTTTAGGAAAGACTTTCTGACCACTAGAGCTGTTGAGGATGGGCTAAAACTAGCTGGGGATACAGGGAGACAGAGGTGGAAGCTGAGTTGGCAGGACCTTCTGAGGAATTCAGGAATGTAGCAGAGGGGACACACTCAGAAAAGACCTGTCAACCACCTCGCCTGCTTATCTCTGAGCATGGGTCAGGCGTTGCCTCAGAGTCCCTAAGACTTGCTCACTCATGCACAAGAACTGCTTTCAGTCAACTTTGGAAGGAGGGGCCTTGGGTCATGTCCTGCTTCCCCTGTGGTTTATCATGACAGCCAAGCTCTGTGGCTTGCCCTGGCTGCCCTGGGCACGGGGCCTACCCTGTGTCAGGTGCTTTTCCCCAGGATCAGCTGTGGAACTTGGCTTCAGCACAGGCAGCTGTGTGGGAGTGGTCAGTCTGAGCAGTAGCAGCTGTTCCAGTCCCTTAGAGAGGATAAGACTGGGACAGTCGGGGTAGCATTCTTATAGCACTGTCTCTCATCTCTGGCGGAGGCAAGGAGAAGTCAGGGAAAGCAGCATGACGTTGGTTGCCAAGCCATTTACATTGGCCTCCTGCAGTCATGCCTTGCCTGCTGGCCTCTGAGATTTGGACTTGCCTCCTCAGCATGGACCTTGGCTGCTCCTACTCCTCACCACAGAGTTCCTCCCTAGAGATTAGGGAGAGGCCATTCCTGCAACCTGTCCTTGATGACCACATGGCTGCTTAATCTTCCTGAGGTTCAGTAGGGAGGACAGTAGGTCTTAGCTAAGGTAAACATGGGTGAGCACTCAGCCTTCAGCGCCCCCCCCCCTCTTTTGTCTCCAAGGAAGCGGGAGGAGCGACCTCAGCACCCTGTCAGCTGTGAAGTCATCAAAGCCATTGCTGAAACCCTCTCCATTCCTGTCATAGCCAAGTAAGCCTCTCGTCTTCCTCGTTTACTTTTTTATGCCCCAACTCATTCAGAATGGACTTGAGCAGGCATTTAAGAAAAGGAATGATCGCATTAAAAAATGACCATAAAGGAAAAGGGGGGAAAAAAGTGGAGCAAGATGCAGAGTGGTAAATGAGGCAGAAAAGTGGCTATCAATTAAGTCAGGCCACTTGCACTCTGGTGAGCGGCTAATGTAGGGTGCAGGGCAGCTCAGGGCCCTCTGATGCCTGAGCTTGGGGAGAGTGATAAGGTGGCTGCTGAAACAGACTTATGGCAAAGTAATGTCATACCCAGGGTGACTTGTGCATGGTGCAGGGGATTATGTTCATAGGGCTTTGGCTCAGGGAAAGTAATATAGGTCACAGAAACCCAGAGAAGCACTCTGGGTAGTTATAGTACCAGGAATATGGACCAGCAGGTGTGAGGTACTGATGAGCAGCCCAGAGGCCACACCCATTTGGTACTGGGGAACTGGCCTGTGTTCAGTTCAGCCCTGCACCTAAAGGAGTCTGGGAGGTTGCATACGGGGAAGCCCTGACAAAAGGCATACCCGATAGGTGGGAGGGAAGAACTAAGGGTTGGGGTGCATCTGGGCACTGTGTCCCCCAGGTAGTAAATTTTGGGGGGTGGCTTGGAGAAGCCAGGGCTATTCAAAACCCTTGAGCCTGTCATTTCTACTATCACCTGAGGGTCCTCGCCCCATTTGACTAGATCTGGACAGAGACTACCAGTAGTTTCTTGATGAAACATATGAGGACAGAACATTTTCTGAGAGGATCCTGGAGCATCAGGGCAGAGGAAGGGGAATTATGACCAAATTGGCCTTCTTCCGGACCCTCATGATCACCAGTGTATCCTCCTTTCCAGGGTTTTGACCCAGTGCTTAGAAGACATATGGGTGGCTACTCAGTTTTGGTATTTTAGTTTCATGTCTTCAGATGTGGGCTGGCATTTGCTACTGTATTGGATGAGGGAAGAGGAGGAAAGTAAAAGGTCTGGAATACCTAATAAATACCAGGCATGGTTTGGATTACTTTACATATGTTATCTTTCTTAGTGAGATTATAATCTCCATTTTGCTGAAGCTCTAATAACTGAAGTGACTTGGCCAAAACCCCACTGTTAATGAGTGGCAGATCAGGAAGTTGCCTTTTTCTGAAAATACTGGTAGGTTCCATAATGAAGACACACCTAACCTTCCTGTTGCTTTTCAGTGGAGGATCTCATGAACACATCCAGCAGCATTTGGACATAGAGGAATTTCGACAAGCCACAGCTGCCTCTTCAGTGATGGTAGCCCGAGCGGCCATGTGGAACCCATCCATCTTCCTCAAAGAGGGTCTGCGGCCCCTGGAGGAGGTCATGCAGAAGTACATAAGATATGTACGTGTCTGCACTTTTTCAAAACCCCCATTTCTGTCTGCCACAATCCTTCAGAGAGCACTTTATGGGGGCCTCCAGCGGCCAGCAGCCCCTGTTGTTCTGCTCCTCTCCTTTTTAGCTCTTGGAGTGTGGCACTGAGTCTCATCAGCTGCCATATGAAGAGAAGATGCTAGGATGTGTGCCCCATCATCATCTTCTAAAGCTTCTAGAGATATAGATAGAGGTCATAGCAAGGACCTTCTGGATCCAGGATGCTGCTGAGACCCCACACACATGATATTGTCTTCTTTCTCCCTCACACTCCACATGTCCACATGCCCATGCACATGGACAAAGAGGTTTTGTGTCACCGAAGACAGTCATGGCTCTGTGTTGGAACAGGTGCAGCCAAAGCCAGGAAGAGCCATTGTAGTCGTTGCTGGAGACAGATTATCTCTATAGAGATTTCTCACCTGATTTGACTTATCTGTCAAAATTACTTCTAAAACTTTTCTATTGCAGATTTCTAGGATGCTTTGCTATGAGTTAGGGAATAATCTAACTAATGCTGTACTTAATGAATAGAATTTTCTAAAGCAGTTTCTTTCCACTGGGAGTACAATGGTAGCACTAGGGGCATTTCCCTGCAAAGGAATTTTTTTTTTTTTTTAAATTTTTAATGAGTTCACACCTGTTTTCCACAACTGTGGGACTCTGTGGGACTCTGCTACACATCTATAGGCAGAGACTGAGTGGTCCTCAAACTCTTCAGTGAATTGGACCTGGGTGGAGAATGTAGCTCTTGCTCAGAGCAGGCTTCCACCTTCTTTAATCCTAGGGCTTACCTGCATGGAGCTACTTATGTCCTCTTTAAGTTATGGCCATGCATGTGGGGTTCCCATGGCCGAGCAAGCTGGGGATGGTAGGAGGACTTGAGCCTTTGTCCAGAGCTGGGAAGCCACTGTCCTAGAGCCTCCTCTCTTCAATGCTACAGCCCTCATCCCCTTGGTTCTGGATGTACTGTTGGGCAGTTTGGTTACAACCAGTTCTCCAGTGGTCTGGGTCAGCTAGAGGCAAGGGACTTTGCCTCGTCCCAGGTCAGCTTTCCATCTCTTCTGGCCAGCTGGCAGATGTATAGCAGAGAAGACAAGTTTAGCAGTGCTGAGTCTGCTCACTGGGTGAAAGGTGATGTTATTACTCCTGCTTCACTGTCCCTTGGCAGCTTTCAAGAGGGTGTGTTGTCAGAGAAAGAGAGTGGACTTAAGTGTCAGCAGGGCTGGCTTTTGGTCCAGCCAGATGTCTTCAGGTCCAAATAAGCTGAATCATGGCTCTGCTGCTGGCTGGGGCTTACCCACTTATTTCCCATTTTGTCATGAGTACATCATAGCACCTTCCTAGGCACTGATGATAAAAACTCAGGCAGAGATTCTAAAATATATAATTACAGAGAGCAAGGGCTAGGAGGAGGATCTGAAGTTTTTATCTAAAAACTTTTATCTGCTCTCCTACCCTGTCCTTGACCATGTGGGTGTCGATGGTACCCTTGGGCAGTCATCTTTCCTTCCTGAGACTCACTTCCAAGGCTGTGGAGTGGAATAATAGCTGCACTTTGTATAAAGATATGAAGTGACAAATAGTATATCAAATATGCCTGGTAAATGGAGCTGTACCCTACCCTTGTAGAGGAAGTTGGAGAGAACTTAATCAAGATGTCAGAAGAGAAGGTACACCAGGCTCTAAGAAGACTCTCACCCCTGTCCTTGGTGTTCCCCTTCCCTGTAGTAGGTTTTCCATCATAGTCTGTGGTGGCCAAAGCAGGACGGGGATTCCTGCACTTCTAGACCTCAAGCAGGAAAATGTATTTCTGATTGTGGGCCTTGACTGTGACTCTCAAACTTTGTACCACCAGCTGGAGGAGTAGATGGCTTTTATGGGGTCACACTGCCTTGGCTGTAAGCATACCTCTGATGCCCCTTGGAGCCTTCTTTCTTGCCATTGAAGCCTATCTCAGGCCTTGGCACCTGCTGGTAGCAGATGGGCTCTCACCAGTTTTCTTCTCAGGCGGTGCAGTATGACAACCACTACACCAATACCAAGTACTGCTTGTGCCAGATGCTGCGGGAACAGTTGGAGTCACCCCAGGGAAGGTTGCTCCATGCTGCCCAGTCTTCTCAGGAAATTTGGTAAGAAGGGCAACGAACTATCCATCTGTCTTTGCAGATGTTTCCCAGGCTTGACCTTGAGCCTTATGATGGCCACAGGGTGTCAGGCTACATAACTTCTGGACGGTGATCTGTAGGAGTGAGGTGATGGTACAGCTTTGCCTCATAGAGTGGGATACTTTCAAAGCTTTGGAATGTTCTAATCCTAGACTCATCTCAACAATAGGGTTTTGGGAAGTAGGGCACTAGTATATTAGAGGAATGCAAAAGATAGGCTTAGGAATTCCTGAGGAGGAAGGGGCTTTTCCATTAACAAGCCTGTAACATGCCAGGCTATAGTCAGGAGAGGTAGGGCTATTGAATAGAGCCTCTGGCCTCTGTTCCCACACCCATTACATTGCAGTTTGAGAGGCCACTGTTTGGTCCTCCAGATCTGGTGTAGCTACAACTCAGGTGGTTGACACTGGAGGTACTTCATAGCTTAGTCTAGTCTTGGCTTCTATGGCTCCGTGTCTACCTATCTGCTTTCATACCTCCATACCTGTGCTCCTGCTGGGTTCTCTGCCTAGAAAGCCTCTCCCCTTGTCTGTATCCTCCAAGAAGCCCTTCTGAACCAATCTCATCCTTAGGGATCCATCCGCTTGCAGAGCCTCCAGCCCTCAAGATACATCCCAGAGGGAAAATATTTGCCAGAATTATTCTCAATGCCCCTGGCTTGTGGCATTGATTCTTTCTCTACTCCAATAGCTTAGGTAGCTGGACCTTGGTTCTTGGAAGCTCCAAACTGAGTATAATTCAGCAGCTCTGGTGGTACCTACCTCAGTTCCAGTTAGGCCCATGGCAGCTCTTTGAGGCCAGATGGAAAGTTGGGAACCACTCAGTGGTCAGGCCTCCATCTCTTCCTGCCATGGGCTGACATAAAGAAGCTGCATAAATCCCAGGTGCTTAATCAGTGTAGGGAAACTCTATCACAGCTGTTGGGAATACCCACTTGTCTGGTCATCATGGGGGAGAGACTATAAGTAGTGGGGGTGACCTTAGGACCTTTTCCACCCAGCCCAGCTTCCCTGCTCAGGGACATTCATTCTAGCTTCCTGTCTAGGTTAATAATGGGCTGGGCAAGAGGCTTTTGTTCTGGCCAGGCCCTCATGGCATTTGGTGCAATTGATTCTCAGTCGTGGGGCCCTGGGTTCCTAAAGTACCCTGAATGCTGCTCTACTAAGGTGCCTGCTCTGTTCTACTTCCTCTTATAGTGATGCCTTTGGCCTTGGTGCCTTCTATGAGGAGACTACTCAGAAGATGGATGCCCGGAGGGCTGAGCTCTTGGCCAAGACTGCAGAGAAGGTGGGGGAACCAATTGAAGATACCTCTGGTGTCATTAAAATGGCTGTCAAGTTTGATAGGTAGGTTTCCAGCTTAGCCTTAGCATGGGCCAGGGCCAGTACCTTCAGAGTATGACTAGGCCAACATGCTGGTTGCTGTATGTGCTGGGCACATGCCTGTAATCTCAGCTACTAGGGAGGCTGAGGTAGGAGGATCATAAGTTTGAGACCAGCCTGGGCAACTTCTGAGATCCTATCTCAAAAAATAAAAAGGGCTGGGGATGTAGTTTAGTGGTAGAGTGCCCTGGGTTCAATCTTTAGTATCCCCAAATGCTTAGGTACTACAGATCTCCTTGGATACTTGTTTGGTTTGGATACTTGTTCCCAGAGAAGGCATTTTCAGCTAAGACAGTCCCTGAAAGCCCAGGCAGGACTGTTTGAGGATGTGCGTGTTGTCTCAAGAGCAACCAAACTCTACTTTTTCCCAGACCAATCCCTCTCACCCCTTGTGGCAGGGGAACTTGTTTTCTATTCCTAAAAGTCTATGCTTCTTTCCCCCTGGCCTTGAGGAGCTAGCTGTCTACATGGAATTCCCCAATAGCTATAGGAGCTTCACGTTCATTTGACTCTGGATCCCTGCCCACATCCACTGCCCTCACCAGCTCTGTGGTTCCCTCTTTAGGCAGAAGTAGCTTCATGCTTATTTTTACTTTAGATTGTGACTCAGCTCTCCCATCTCCTTCCCCCTCACCCCTGTACTGGCGATTGAACCTAGGGTGCTTTACCACTAAACTATATCCCTATTCCTTTTTATTTTTTTATATCGAGTCAAGGGTCTCACTAAGTTATACAGGCTGATCTAAAACTTGAGGATCCTCCTGACTCAGCTTCCCAAGCCACTGGGATTACAGACACGTGTCACCACTCCAGGCTTGTGACTCAGCTTTGAATGGTGCCCTCATCCTTGTCATCTGCCATCTGATCTGAGCCTTTCTTCAGTCCCCGGACCCAGACCAGAATCCAGTCTTCTCTGGCAAGACTGTGTGGTGGGGGTGAGAGGACGACTGTTGGGCAGTCACACGCCAGAGGGAGCTCCCAGTGGGAAGTTGAAACATGTCCCTCCTACATTGTCACTCTGTCTCAGACAGACTCTGACATCAGAGTTCATTGTGTCCATGGCAGCAACAGATTATTTTGACACTTGGCAGATGGAGTCAGAGTGGGCACTGAGTTAGAATCCTGAGCTAAGTTCCTCACCTTTGTCTACTCTCAGAAATCTTGTGTGGTGAAGCAAATTGGACCTTCCTTCTTGGTTATTAAAGACTATTTTTAAAATAATTTTTAAAAATATTTTTTAGTTACATGGACACTATATCTTTATTTTGTTTATTTATTTTTATGTGGTGCTGAGGATCGAACCCCGGGTCTTACATGTGCGAGGCGAGCACTCTACCGCTGAGCCACAACCCCAGCCCTTAAAGACTGTTTTTCAAGATCGAGTTTTAGGATTCTCCCCAGCTTCAGTTTCCCTAGAATGCTGAAGCCCATCTTCGCTTTAGGTAGAAGCTAGTTACCAACCACTGGCAGGAAAGGAAGGGGAGCCCAGAGGAGTAGGCATAAGATCCTTAAGGCAGCAGCCTGGGGTCTCAGTTCCTGTAGCCCCTATCAGCTGAGTGGTACCATTGGTAAGAGGGGGAGTGGAGATGGTGAGTGGTTCCTGAATGCTTCTTCTCCTTTCCATAGGAGAGCTTATCCACCCCAGATCACCCCCAAGATGTGCCTGCTGGAATGGTGCCGGAGAGAGAAGTTGGCACAGCCTGTTTATGAGACGGTGAGTTCCTAGCTGTGACTGCCCTGCAACCAGCCATGGTGCTCCCTCCAGTGGTGCCATCGCCTAGTACACCCACAGTTCATACCCTGAATTCTAGACTATTTGGCTAGTGTCTAGCTTTGCCCTCTAGGCATGCAGAAGTTGCTTGTGGCTGGGTCAGTTGCTGATAGCCCTTCCCCTCTGACCTTGGACTATTGTCCAACCTGGCAGGTATATCTTTGGATTGGACCTTAGCCAGTGGGGCACAGAACTGGGGCCTAGACATGGGGCCTGTGGTGTGGAAACCTTGAGATTAAAACTTTGCTTCACTTCTTTTGGTCATTCCTTGTTTAGGCTGCTCTGCCTCTTCCAGACAGGCTTGTACCTTCTGTGCCTTGTGTCCCCTTCTGCCAGAGTGACTTTTGCAACATAAATCTAACCTCTGTCTCTCTTGCTCAAGTTATCAGCTCCCCAGTGCCTGTAGGATCTAACCCAAGACCCTCAGCATGGAGCATGTGACCTCCCATATGCCTTGCTGCTTCAGGTCTCATCCACTCATCCATATCACCTGGTCTTCCAGATGTATCTTCTCTGTCCCCACCCACGTCCTCTTTCACCCCTTTGCCATCTGGTAAACTCAGTAGGAGGAGGTCCCATATTCGCAGGCAGTTAAGGACTTGACAGCCCTTTGTTTGGGTTCATGACAGAAATTTGGTCACACATGGTGTCGTTGTTAATTTGTATAGGTGGCTTTTTTTCCTTAGAAGACGCACCTCCTTTTACATGGGAGGAGCATATGAATAGACAGCCTTCAGTTGCATCCCTTTGATGCGATGGGGCAGGTGGGCCTTGAGGGCAATCAGCCCTTTTTCCTTTGTCCTCTGTACCAGGTTCAAGGACCGCTAGATCGCATGTTTTGCTCCGTTGTCACTGTTGCAGAGCAAAAGTACCAGTCCACCTTGTGGTGAGTTTTCTTATCAGAGGGCGTGAGGCTTGGGGTGGGAGGTCCTGAATCCAGCATTGGTCTGGGAGGGTTGGGTGGATGGTGTGCCTGAGCACTGATGGCCCTGTATGATGACACTTTATTCAGTTTTATCAGAATCTCTGCTAAGGGTGTATAAGAGTAAGAATTCCTGGCCTTTCATCCTGCAACCTGCCCACCTGTCTTATTTCCCTATTACTCATCTGCCCAGGGACAAGTCCAAGAAATTGGCGGAACAGACTGCAGCCATCGTCTGTCTGCGGAGCCAGGGCCTCCCTGAGGGTCGGCTTGGTGAGGAGAGCCTTTCATTGTACAAACGCAAGCGGGAGGCTCTTGACCAAGACTCTGGAGGCCCCAGAACTCAGGAGCCAGCCCTGCCTAAGGAGCTATGCAAGAAGCCCTTTGTGACATTGGGAAGTGGTGAAAAGAGAACCCTGGAAGGTTGGTGACTACTGTCCCTGCCATGGTAACCCTCTCCATGGGTGTGGCACTGAGGTGGCCTTGATACTGGAGCATGAACCAAATGCCACTTGTTCAGTTTGCTGGCCCTGCCTGGCAAGAGTGTAGGAGGTCCAGGACTAGGTCATCAGTCTAGAACACAGGCCAAGGAGTGCCCAGGTGTGAATCGCATTTCTTCTGACTGGCAGGGCCAAGTTCCTAGTGATTTGAGTATTGTCTTTGAAAACAGGAGCTTTTCAGGTGGTTTATCCCTAATTTGACATTGGTACAGTGCAATAAAGACACCTTCCTACTGTTACCCATGGCTGACTGCTTCAGCCCTGGGCATCTTCACACATAGACTTGTGTCCTAGCATGATTATTCTACTCCCACCCTTTGTGAAGAAATGTAGCTTCCAAAGCATGTCCCCTGCACATCCTTATGGGTATGATGGAGCTGGGGGATGGGCTATCAACTTTAAGGCCCACCAGACTTGGGTGACCTAAGAAGGTCCAAGAGACCCATTCTAACGTAGGAAACATGAGGTGTTAGGCATTAATTGACTTTCCTTAGAAAGAAAAAGTAAATTCTTACAAAAAAAAAAAAAAAGGTAAATTCAGTAGAATTTGGGAAAGGACTAGGGTGTCTGCTGCCCCATTAAGTGACCAGCCCAGTGGGGTGGGGAGTGTTGATCTGATTCTTCAGTCTTTAAGCCTGAAAGGTGATTGGAGCTCAGACCTGCTTTATATAGTGGGTACTGGAAGCTGTGGGTGACAGCAGTTTGGCTATTGCATTCACAGGTCACACCCACTCTTCCCCCTCCCCAACCAACTTGGGGCGGAAGGAAGTGGCAGATTCACTTTAATTTCCTCTTGGCAGTGAGAAGCAAACAATCAGCCACTACCTCATCTCTTGGGGCCTCCCCCACTTACTGGGAGGGGCATTCTGACCAAAGGTCTCTGCCCAGCTCCGCCCCCATTTCCTCTGCTGTAAACATGCTGTGTGTCCTCGGCTTTTGTAGGCACTATGAGGGGAGGATTCCCCTCTGGGCCAAGGCTATCTTCCCTACATCTCCCTTGGATCAACCTAATGGCTCTGTGGCAACCTGACCTAGGGTCTGGCCCCCTTTCTAGCCAGTAGCCCTTGTTTCCATGGGTCTCTGAGTCAAGGGTTTGGTGGGTGAGGCTTTGTCCTAGTCCCAGTGCTGCCCTTCCCTGTCACCCACACTTGCTTTTTTTGTGTTGAGATAAGAATACTCAATCCCAGCTACCTCCCAGAGCCTTGGAGCTGCGCAGACAGAATAGCCCCAGTGGAGCCCCCTCTGTCACTGGGGAGGCACTAAATCCCACCCCTCCGATGGGAATGGCCATTGATCTTTTCTCCTGTCAGTGTGGTTTTCCTGGGGATGTCTCCTTCCCCGTCAGGGTTAGGTTCATTGCTGGGCCATGGGGAAGGACAGGCAGGGATAGAGTTCCATTAAGATAGAGGCTGGAGTTTGGAGCCTCTGAGGGCATAGGGGAGAGGCTCATTCACTAGAGTCAGGTAGGGAGGGGCTGGTTACTTTATGTCTGTTGACTGAGGATGTTTGGCATAGGTCCTAGTTGAGGGACTGGGGTGCTGGGGCTCGGTGGTAGCGCACTTGCCTGACACGTGTGAGGCACTGGGTTCGATTCTTGGCACCACATATAAAAATAAATAAAATAAAGGTCTATCAACAACTAAAAAAATAATAAAAACAAACAAACAAACAAAAAAAAACAGGTCCTGGTTGAATATGAGGTCCTCATTGCACCTCAGTGGTAACCTGCCCAAAGCCTGGGACTGAGAGCCTTAGATAGGCCTAAAGACTTTACCCACCATTAGTGACCATGCCTACCTTAAATTAGGCCACTTAAAACCCCCAGACCCCTTTCTGGGCTAGTAGCTCAACACTTATTCATCCATTTACCCACTTTTGAGGCCTTTCCCTTAACTCATCATATTTTAGGGACAAAAGGTTGTTTTTTTTTTTCTCTAATATTTATCAGTTATTGATGGACCTTTATTCATTTATTTGTTTATATGCGGTGGTGAGAATCTAACCCAGTGCCCCACACATACTAGGCAAGTGCTCTACCACTGAGCCACAACCCCAGCCGACTGAAGGTTTTGATATGAGCACAAGAGGGAGAGGTGAATCAGATTGGAGAAGGTGGCAGGATTTCCAATGGTATCTAAAGAAGACTGGATTTGTGCAAAGGTGATGGGGAAATCTCTTAGATCTATAGTTCCTTATCTTAGGGCCTCCCTGGATATCTTGAGACTGCCCTCTGGACTGAGACCAAACCCCTCTACCTAGTGAGGACAAAGTGCTGACCTATCCTAGCACCCGGTGCTGACTCCAGCAGCTAACTTTCTGAGGTGTAGTTGGCTGGTCTTATCCTTTCCACCCTGATTTGGGAGCTGCACAAGGGCAGTCCTTATGTCCTTTATGGCCAGTGTTGGCCTGGGGGTTGGGGAGCAAGCACAGAAGACTAAACTAAGAGCTTCAGATGAGAGATTCATGGCATGGAGAGGAGGAACTTGTTTAAATTGAGTTTCCGCCAAGCCTCCTGTTTCCCCCTGGAGTGAAACAAGGGGCTGGGTTGGACTAAACTATACCATCCTATGGCTTTGAGGACACAGAACCTTCAACAGTGGGACCTCAGGACCAGGCCTGTGGCAGCTGGTAAAAGAAATGTCTATCTGATATTCAAGCCTGGCTGGCATTCACACATGAGGGAGAAGGGTGTTCCTGCATTCTACTTCCCTGGCTCCTGGGCTTTCATTTCATAGTGCTCTTAGGTAAGGAGTGGATCAGACGACTTGCAGGGCCTTTGGAACTTGTCTTATAAAGAGGTAATGAGGGGAAATCTTGGCCCTTGCTGGGAAAGGGGGTGGAAACAGTATGCATTTTTGGGTGTGTGTTTATAGGTCCCTTCATAACCTGCAGCATCCTGGCCATTGTTACTTTTTTTTTTTTTTTTTTAAACAAAACCAATTGCTCCCTGCAGTTGGTGGCCACTCCTGCCCCAGACCTCATCACTCCTTGTTAAATTCTCAGTTTATTACAGACCAGAAGTCTGCCCCACAACATGACCCATTCTAAGTGTTCTCCAGATGCTCAATCCTTGCATTGCTGAGCATTTAATAAATGGGAGAATTTTTAAAGCCATCTACATTTTGTCTGTGGTCCAATTGGGGTGTAGGGATGAAGGAGCTGGCAGGCCCTGGATCTCTCTCTTGCCTGCCCTTTGGTCTGATTGGCTGAGCTCCTGGTTCAGGTGAAATCGTGTCTGGAGGGAAAGAAGACCTGGGATAAGGGTCTATTTTCTAAATGCAGATGACAACCTGGGAGGTATGTGTATAATGGTGGGGAAGGGGATTCATCCTGAAGTTGCTGTAAGTTTTGTGCGGTGGGGAGGTGAGCTGACTAAGCTTTTGGCACCTTACACTATATCAGGATCATATTGCATGTGGTATTAATAGGTGGGCCGTTAACTTGAGGCAGAGGGCTACAGAGCTGGAATGGCATTTGGGCTCCAGGTTGGAGATTCTCTGAAGGCAGGACTGCTTGTTGGGAAGAACTTTCTACCTAAAGCCATTTTTCCCCCTAGTTGGTCAGTTTGTCATCTCCTGCCTTTAACCCCACCCAACTCCCCATTCCAGTATTCCATCCAGAATTCTGATCATGTAATACCCTTGCTCTAAACCCTTCCATAGCTCTCTACTGTCCTCAGGATATAAATCCAGGCATCTTGCAGTGGCCTATAGATCTCTGCCCACACATCCAGCTTCCCCTTTGTCTACTGCTTATTGCAGGTACTTTCTGGTCTCCAAGTCTTTGGAAGTCTGTTCTTTGCCTGGATCAACCTTTCTTACCTCTTGCTTGTATCTCCTGTTCTTACCTACCCTATGAAGGTCCTGCAGCCAGGGAATTTTGAACCTTTTCAGAACTGCTGGCACAGCTCTAATCTCTTTGCACAGTAATTAGAGATTTGCTGTTACCCTTCCCCTGACCCCTGAAGGGAGACTTAATTTATCTCTGCATCCCCAGATCCAGAGTAGGTAAAGGCATACAGCACTGGGCAGGAATGAACTGGTCCAAGATGAATGTCTCACATGCTCAGGACATTCCTAGTTCTCCTGACCTAGTTAGGTTCCCCCTAGGGCTCCCTGATAGCTCAGGAGTCACTGAGATCTCTACAAAGAGCTCCACCTTGCCTCCTCTCCCAGGGGTTTTTGTGGGTGGTGTGGGTATGCTGTAGGCCCTGTGAGGTGGCACTTTTCAGGCCTCCCATCTACACTCAAGCCTCTTGAGGCAGCACCATGGGTTCCTCCAGTAACGCTCTTCAGGAGATACTATGCCCTGTGGGCCTTTTGCCAGGGGCAAGGAGCCTGGGGAGACCATCATTAGTGCCTCTCCTGACTCCCTGTCTACTATTGAGCCTCAGTGGATCCCCAAGTAAACAAGCCCAGGCTCAGAGTCCCCAGACCCAGGAGGCAATGTCTTGGGCTGTCCTAGGAGAAGGCAGGCCTCTGGGGATGGACGGGACAAGATCCCTCCTGCATTCATGGCTGTGTATGGGGATGTAGAGGTCAAAGCTGTGAGTGGCCCGAGCTCACAAGGAGTTCCCTGCTCTGCCTGCTCAACTTTGATAGGGAGATAAACCCTGCCCCTCTGTCTTTTGGATGAATTCTAGAATGCACACGCTGCTTCCAAGCAAGGCAGGCTAGTGGGGCAGACAAAGGTGCAACCATCAAGACGCGGGCCCCACTCCACCGTAGAGGGTCTGTTGCTACCCATTTCCTTGGGCTCCATCCACTCCTTACCTGGAGCCTCCGTTCAGTCCCTGCTCTTTCGAAATTCCACCGTTGAAGTTGGGATGGAGGGATGGGATTGAACCCAGGGGGCGCCTAACCATTGAGCTACGTCTCCAGTCCTTTTTATTTTCTATTTTGAAACAAGGTCCCGCTTAAGTTGCTGAGGCTGGCTTTTAACTTGCGATACTCCTGCCTCAGCCTCTGCCACCTGAGTCGCTGGGATAATAGGCGTGCGCCACCGCGCTCAGCGGCTTTTATTTTTGCTCACGCTGACCTCAAGATCACACAGCCTCAGCTTTCCGAGGTGTGGGGATTAAAGGCGTGTGCCGCCCAGGCGGGCCACCATGCATTCTTTAAATCCTGTCATCAGTAGTAACTCTAAACGGCCGCCCATCATCAAACCTATAACCCTATTGGTGCTCCTTCCTCGACGTGAACTCTGCCTAATGAGGAAAGGCATCTTCTCCAATTGACCTGTGGTGGTTTCCCTAATGCAACTGAAGAGGACTATGGGCTC